TTTTTACTTATCTATCTCAAATTCCCTTGCTGGCTTTACAATTTATTCGTGGCAATAACTCCACTATTTTAAATAATTTCTTTTTTTGGTTTTCACAATCTTTACACTTTCTCATTTCTTCTTTTAATTTTTTGAAAATAGGTGATTTAGAGTAAAATGCTACTCCTTTCCCNCGATTAACTCGCTTGAACTCGTCCAAACGCTTCGTGTGNGNAGNNCAAAACTTACTTCCTACNGGGGCTTTTTTNGCCCTTTTTAAAGTAAAGTAACCTTTGAAACTAATATCTTCNCCNCGGAGTAATTTTTGNTTAATTACTTCCAAGAANGAAGCGGTTACCTTTTTTACTTGAAGTTCACCTAATTTAGTTTGCTTGTTCACCTCTTTATTTATATCGGTTATTCCTATTGTGTTTACCATATTAATAGTTTTATATAGAATATTGAGAAAATTAATGGTGGTTTGGGGCAGATTCGAACTGCCGACCTCGCAGCGCTTCAGGCTGGCGCTCTAACCGCTGAGCTACCAAACCGCTTATTCGTTTTCAACGGCTATTACCCGAGAATGATGGGTTAAATCTGGAAAAATAGAAACTTTGNCTTGGGNAAAGTTCTCTATTATTAATTTTATTATTTTTTCTTTTGATTGATATCCTATTTCAACCGCTAGCAGAGATTTAGGGGCTAAAAAAAGGGGNGATTGTTGGAAAATTGAAGTATAGAAAAAATAACCATTCTGTTTGGCAAGCAAGGCACGGGCGGGCTGGNTTTTTACTTCTNGGGCAAGATTTTTATACTCTTTCCANCTGACATAGGGGGGATTAGCCACCAAAATATCAAATTTTTCGTTTTGGTCTAAATTAGCAAATAAATCACTTTGAATAAATTCAATATTATTTACTTGGTGAGAAGTAGCATTCCGGCGGGCTATTTTTACCGCTTGGGGGTTGACATCCAAAGTTTTAAAACCTCACTGTGGTCGGCTTTTGGCTAAGGAAATTACAATATTTCCACAACCGGTTCCTATTTCAAGCACCCTTAATTTTTNCTTTTTNTTTCAAAATNGGCTCGCCATTGTCAAAACTTTTTCCACCAATATTTCAGTTTCTTTTTGGGGAATAAAAACTCCGGGTTCGATTTGAAAAGAAAGTCCATAAAAACTGACCTGATTAACTAAATAAGGAACCGGATAACTTTTTTTAATATGCTTATCTAACCTCTGGCAGATTTGAAAATACTCTCCCTC